ACCTTGAATTGAACTATAACATGTTTCACACATACTGAGGACGAATATATATTTTGAATAATTTTTTGCCAAATTGTGTTATGTCTTACATTCATTTAGAGAAGATTAGATATACTGTTAGGGGATCTGTAAACAAATTCTTTGACATCTGGCAGCCATTTATATCGTACGTAGAAAAAATTTCAGCAGATAATTTTGTGTAAAGGTCAAATATTGTTTCATGTACACAAACCTGTTCATTATATAACTGATTTATGAATACAAGATGGTTTTATGTTGTTGCAGTAGATCCGGTATAGGAGGGGAGGGATGGGAGGGATTTTGGGTGTGTGTGTTTTGTTTTGTGTTCTTGTTAGTTTTTTTTTCTGTAGTCTGTGTTAAAAAATAATAAAAAGACTTTGATCAAAAAAGAAATAACACCRCTGATCAAAATTTTAAGACCAGTTGAAAGATTTCACATTTTGCACTGCAGAGCTTCAAACTGGGAGTGAGACAAAGCATTTTATTACAAACAAGTATTAAACTGAAATAAGCTGACCACAGCATTTAAAAGACCAATGAAGCGGGATATGTTTACAAGTTTACAGGCCACTTTTTATTTTTAAATCACTGTCCATTAAGGCAAATTAATTTGCAACCAATTAGTTAAAAATCTAGTAAAAACAGTTCTTTATTTGAACCAGAATTGTACAAGACATAACTTAATGTAAAACTATTTAAAGTGATTCTATGACCTGAAATTTTAACTTCAACATCTCAAGATAAATTAAATGAAAGACAATTATAAGTGAAAATGTTCAAGGCCTAAACATCTTATACTGTACCAGGTGGTGGGCAGTCCAGGTCCTCAAGGGCCACAGCCCTGCATGTTGTACTTTTGTCCCTGCTCCAACACACCTGATTCACTCATTGAATTACTTCTTCCAAGTTCTGCAGAAGCCTGATAATCACCCATTCATTCAAATCAGGTGTTATCTCTTTGGTAAAATGCCTGGTATAAATAATTTTTGCAGATCTTTATGATTAATTYCAACTTCCTGAAACTGACTCACAGAGAGAACGGATTGTCTCTGGGGGAAATTTTTAATTCAAGTGGAAACATACACTTTCTTATTATCTGGGGCATACAAAAAATGTGTCTTTTAATATTATTACAGCATTATTATTGTTTACAGGGCCAATTTTATGTTTCTCAGGCATATAGTTCAATTCTGTACCATAATAAAGTCACTATGTCACCTTCTGTTGTTATAAAAATGTTGTTTATATTGTTTTCCTGTGTGGCTCCTCCCCCAGTTTACCCACCAGGARACCGATGGGTCTTGGGGAGGAGACAATGTCTCCCTCTTGGTTTGGAGGCGATGAACCGGACTTACAGCCAACCTGAGGTGGCCTGTGTGGCCGTGTCCMGTATGTCTCCTCCAGGAGACAGGGGCGGGAGCCCTTAGCTCGGCCTCTAGCTGCCTTCCTTCCAGTGGTCGCTCCCTTCTTGAACTCCGGCCTCTGGATCAGCGTAGTAGCTCAGGACGCCTCCAGCTGCCGGTCACCACTGTTACTGGTAGCCGCTCCCTCTTAGGATCTGCACTTCTTACTGTGACCGAGATGATGTTTAGTGACCTGGACAGCAGGTCTCAAGGGAACTGTTAAAGGGAGTTATCCTATCTCCCCAGGCTAATAACCATTAAAAATGAACTTATTATTAAATTATGACCTCATCATTACCTCTTGGCCTCAAAGTAATCACACTCATGAACATGTTAATACCTTGTTGCTTTGAAGTAACAACACTCTCATGTAATCAGAGAAAAACTTTAAAAACCAATGTCCAGTCATGGAATTGTCTTTATGATGCTGTAAGCAGTTTAATAGAAATTTGCAAGAAAAGCCACATTTGATTATACAGATTAAAAATATTGAATAATAATTGATGGTGATAAAAATAAAAAACTCTAAGGCGCTGACATTACCTTATGACTAGGTTGTGTGGCATTTTCTGTCAATTTGGACGGTAGGACAGTAGGAGCAGTTGTTGGCTTTACCTCCATGAAAAGCATCAGACTGTTGCCAGAGAAGACTTCTCAAAGCTGGGCTGTTTAATCTGGTCTTCGGTCTGTAGATCGCTGGAGAGAAGTGTGTCAGCTTGTCCCAGATGAGATGTCTCTTGGATCTGTTGCTCCTCTTCTTGGGCTGTCCTTGCCTTTTGCTGCCTCTTCTCCAGATGGGGCCAGAAGACGACAACTGCTGAAACTGCTCCTCTTTTATACTGTTTTCAGGCCATTTACCCCCCCACCCCCCTTTCTGCCATTCTGTGGTAAGGCTGGTGTACTTTCCAGAATGAAGTAATCTTGCTGATTCTAGTAATAGGACTGTCAGGGACTTTTTTTGGTGACTCAAAACCACCTTGTTTTTCACCACAGGGCCTCTGGGACATTCCAGACAAAAACCCCACTTCTGCTTTCTTCTGCTGTTCCTTTGTTTTGCAGAAGTACTGTTTGTCTTTCCTACCGTCCAAATATAGCGCACACCCTTCCTTCATTTTAAGACATACAATAACACTTCTTCCTAAATCACCATCTTACATTAAAACATTAATTATCACAGTACATTAGTTAAATCATTCTTTGCAATAAAGCATGTAATTATTACTCTTGTTATTTATTTGCCAGCATTAAAATCAATCAAAATTAATACTTATTACTCCTGCTCTTTCTTCATCTTGATTCTCCTTTCCCTCTGGCCTGCATCTCGTTCTCTCTTGTGGCTCCTTTTTCTGTCACGTCCTCCTCTCTGTTGGGAGTCAAAAGGAGGCTCTACTGGCCTGATTCCAACTCTTGGGATGGTTGATACAGCCAGGTTCCTTGACAATATGTATAAATCAAAAATAAATTTGACTTTGCATCATAGCCATTTCTAAACACATTGAAATGGGTCTCTTTCTCTTTAAGAACATCCTACCGCTTCTGTCACTCCCATATGGAGACTAAACAGTGCTAATCACATTCATACACTGATGGGACACACATCAGAGGTATTGGGAATGAAGTGTRTCGCCAAAGGACACAACAACTGAGACAGCAGCAACGGGGGACCGAACCGGCATCCTACCAGTTCCAGGACGACTCCCCTGACCACTCAGTCACCCAATAAACAAAGTCCTGTATGGAACTTTCATTGGTCTTCATGCTCAGTGGTAGACTTAACTACTTGGAGGTGTTGCACTGGTGTTGACTCTAGGGGCTTTCAGAACAGGTGTATGTCATCTGGCAGGTGTAAAGACTTCATTTAACTTTTAGACTGACCACAGGTGGGTCTTATTTAACTAACCACCTGGCTTCTGGTTGGTCTTTCAAAGCAAACCACTTTCAGTTTAAAAGTTTCAGTAGCTATTTAAAACAATTTATTCTCCTTCCATTTAAATTTATTATTAATAATTATTTGGGAAAAGGGTTGCTTATGTGAAATTTATAGTCCAAAGAAAAATGGCTTTAAATTTCATGTTTAAAGAACACACGTCATGCTGTTAAATCCTTCTTTTTCTCATTTAAATCATTCAGTTGGGGTCTATATAAAGTGTAAGTGCAATGCTTTAGTCTGAATTCCTCCTTATTCTAACTCCACCAGCCCCTCTTTCACTCCTTTCCTGACATGTGTCTCAAAGAAACTCATTTTGATGCTGTCTCTTTAAATCCAAAGAGACACTTCACACCACACCCTTTTACAGCAGTCCAATGCTCTTTGAGAGAGGGGTTTATGACTATATATGTAGCAGCAGTAACATTTTTTTTTACAAATAATTAAAATAGATCAACAACTGAAATTGTGTCCTTTACATGTTGGAGCCAGAGTTTAATTAAGAGCAAGAGGAGACTTCAGAAGATGAGAATGTAGTCAGTAAGTCCAGACCTAATTTGGCAGTTTTGTCACAAATTCTTTGACTTAACAGTTCTGAAAATGTCATAGTAAGTAGAGGAAAATGAATGTGTTAAACATGACCTAAAAAGAATATATCTATGCAGCACTGGGGGAGACTAAATTCAAATTGTCGGCACTCCTAGAGARTCCAAAATGTATTTAAAGGCTCAAAATGTGTATTTTGCATGATGTGTCCCTTTTAAGGCAAATAATTATGAAGTGGTTGTGTTCAGGGGGCAGGTACTTTTGCAACCCACTGTAATGACATGATAATACTCATCATCCATGTAAACTTTCATCGAATGGCAAAAAATGCTAGATTACTGTGTTATTCTCCCAGTTCCTGACACTCCAGTGGAAGTCATAGTGGATCTGTTAACGAAAGCCAAGGACATAGCTGCAGGATGCGGGACTGTTCCAGAGGAGCTGAACAATCACCTACAGAAGGCTCTGGAGATTGCCAGTGGACTGGATGACTACTTGGAGAAAATGACCATGCAAGAAAGTGAACCTCTGGCAGAACTTTATAAGTATGGTATTTTTGCATTCATTTATCTGAAGCTCAAACTGTTTACCGTCTGAAGTATATGATGTTAAAATTTACATGCATCTGTTCTGTCAGAAAGACAATTTCTCATGACTGGGATAAAGTGTTCAAGGAGGGCAAGACTATGCTACGTCTCCCCAAAGAGTGCATCACTGGCCATGTTGAGGGTGGGACATTAATCCCTTCGCTGCTTATTTGTATTGCTTTTCATGCTTTATTTACGGTGACATATGTGTTTTTGGCAGGTCAGACTCTTAAGATGCTGGTCCAAATGAGTCAAGCCAAAAAAGTCCTAGAGATAGGAATGTTCACTGGCTACGGTGCTCTGTCCATGGCTGAGGGTCTCCCTGAGGATGGATGCTTAGTGGCCTGTGAGTTAGAGCCATATCTTAAAGATTTTGCTCAGCCTATCTTTGATAAGTCTCCACATGGTAGGAAGATCACTGTAAAGACTGGGTCTGCCATGGACACTTTAAAGGTAAGAGACATATACTGTCCGATAAATGTAGTGGTCGTGTCCATCTCACGTTGACCTTATGGTATGTATGTATATATGTGTGTGTATATTTATGAAATCTATATCACATAGCCTATAAACTTTTCTCAAGTTAATAGATCCTAGGAAGTTAGTAAAAGTCAAACCAAAGATACCCCAGATATAAGACCACACAAGTACAACCATGAGCAGAAAGAGGTGAATAATCTAGATGGAGGCCTGTCACAATCAACAATGAATCAATCATATGATAAATTAAATTGAGGAAAACAAATCAAAATTAAGACATTTATTTTAATTGGCCTGCTTGTTTTTTTTCTTCATGTCTCCCTCTTTTTTTACATCTAAGCATGAGAGTGAACTCTGGTGTCAGGTATTTTCCAGGTGCATGGTCTCTGTAACATGAAAGCCCGTGAACAGGCGTCCAAAGGAGCATCTTCAGTTTTCTGACACCTTCATACAGCTGGCGACGCCTTGGGATTGCAGATAATTGTTTTTTCTTTATTCACTATGTAGACATGGGGGGTTATATGATATTGTTTTAAACTGGTTTCCAAAAATATTATCGTTGATTGCAATAATTCCTAAGACAGTTTATCATTCAGTAAAAATTGTTATCGTGACAGGCCTACCTAGATGTCTGTTTTTTCGTTTTTGTTCTAGTTTTTGCCAAGAGAGTTATCAAAAAGAGGAGTGCTCCCTCTACCAAGATGGGCGCAGTGATACAACATCAGTCTCTATTGGCCAAGAGTGTAGACGAATTATCGAGCCTGTATTATATCTGTGATTACTAAGGCTGAGGCCTCGTTCTGTTGATTCGTCTCTCCCTCCTTCCTACCATCACTTGTAAACAAGATGCTCAGATACATTACCTCCTCCACTTGAGGCAAAGACACCTTCACCCCTACCCCCAATCTGTTAGTGGTAAATTCATACCCTTCTTCTAAATTTGAGCTACATGAATATTAACGTCGCATTTTGTGGGGGTTAGCAAATGCAAGTACAAGTAACAGCACAGAGAAGCAGGGATGTGTTGTTCAAAATTGATAATGATGCAAAGGGTAAAAAAATAGAGTTGACACGAACCATTACGATTTTTTTTTTATAGATTGGAGCTTTTTAAAGATTGCAGCAATCCACTTTGATCTTGGCCCTCTACAGAGTAGCTGTTAGCTCACCCATCTGGTTGCAGTTAAACTCTATTTTTCCAAACAGAAAAGCTAACTAAAACAAGCATTATATTACTTGTTCACCTTCTGTTTTCTTATTTAATAAAAAAAAGTCACATATTTTGTAAGTGTGGTACAGAATGACCATTAGCCCATGTTTACTTCTTTACATTTACACTGTTAGCTATGTTTGTTGCTTTGCATAACCATAACTAGCCACAGATTAACGCTGACATTACACATCCCAACCAGGTAATTATGTCATGTGCCTTTCAGGAACTAGCAGCTGCAGGTGAGCAGTTTGACATGATCTTCATTGATGCGGACAAAAGCAATTACATCAACTACTACAACTTTATCATGGACAACACTTTGTTGAGATTGCGAGGGGTTATATGTGTGGATAACTCCCTGTTCAAAGGAAAAGTTTATCTTAAAGACACCACAGACAGCAACGGACTGGCGCTTCGAGAGTTCAATCAGTTTATCTCTAAGGATCCACGAGTGGAGCAGGTATGCTTCAGATATTTCCATGCTTCAGTCAGGAGTTTGGTTTTTATTCGTCTTTTATGTGAAGGCTGCTCCCTCTGTTTGAAAGGTCATTGTCCCTCTAAGAGATGGCATCAGTCTAATCCGGCGCCTTCCGTTGGGCTCCCTGTGCTCGCTCGCTCAGGTACTGTTGCTCCTCCTCAGATAAGCATCTGTTGGCAACATTTTCATCCTGACTGAACATGACTGCGTGTGGATTTTTCTTCCTTAGGGTAAGATAACAGACGATGAAGTTTTCCAAGGAGTTAAGGGTCACTCCATTTTAGATCGGATGCGTCTTGATGGAAAGGTGGCATATGTGACGGGTGGGGGGCAGGGAATCGGCAGAGCGTTTGCTCACGCATTGGGTGAGGCTGGAGCCAAGGTGGCTGTGGTAGACATGGATCAGGGGAAAGCTGAGACTGTTACTCGGGAGCTGCTCCTTAAAGGTGAGCAATGTTGATGTGAAACCCTTGAGCCTAAGTAGCTTCATTCACCAGTTTATTTGGTGCAAGTGCAACACATCTAAAGACACTGCATCACAGTCAACTAATCACACATGTTCTTTTGGTATGAGCCAAGTTTCTAAAATCGGACTTATTAAAGGGATCCCCGATTAGTTGTAACATTAGACTTTATATGATAAACAAATACTTTAACTGTACAATAAAGACTGTAAAAATACTGTTGGATGTTCAGTTTTTATAATTTTTAAACTAAAAGTTAAAAAATGTATTACATGGTTGGGACCATTTTATTTACACGCAAAGCATTCTGGGCAAATGATGACATCAACTAGGTCATTGGTGCGTGGCTGCTAGCAAGCTATATCCACCTTGAAGGTTAGCCCAGACGCTACCACCATATATATGTATTTGCTCAGCGCAACACATTCTCTCGTCACTGAGGTCCTCCATCCACATGACAGAGAGGGGAATGCAAAAATGACTCAGCCTGTAACTGAAAATATGGATGGAGGACCTCAGTTTAGCTTGTTTGTCACGCTAGCGCCGAGCTAATACATAGAAGGCAATATAGCGTGAGGGCTAACAGGCTAAGCTGAGGTTCTTCTTCCATGAAGCAGCTCTGTTGTCCTCCATCCATATTTTCAGTTCCAGGCTGAGTCATTTCTACCTCTCTGGTTTCATTTAAAAGAGTCGATCATCAGATATTGTCCAAGATTAACCTTCAGGGTGGATATAGCTCGCTAGCAGCCTTGCACCGATGACCTAGTTGATGTCATCATTTACCCAGAATGCTTTGCGTGTAAATAAAATGGATCCGTCCATGTRAAAATWTATTTWAAAAAATTWKKAAAKRWWAKKWSCTACAGTATATTTACAGTCTTTATTTTACAGTTAAAATAAATGTTTATCAAAAAAAGTTTAATGTTACAACTAATCGTGGATCCCTTTAAAACATGTTGAGCCTAACCTGGCTTATTCTTTTTGGTGACAACTTTTTTAGGCCAGGCAGTGTAGTTAATAGCTTTGTTTACACAATAATCACTTTATCTATGACAGCCAGAGGGTAAATTACACGCTTTAAAGAACATCTGGAAGAGTTGCAACACAATGCTGTAAATAACTGAACTGGCCCTACAGGCAGGTAACCAGTTAAAACATAGTAAAAATACACTGGATGTGCTTTGGTACATTTAAATGGTCTTTTTTCATTAAAATATGTGGTTTAAGATCATAAATTGTTACCTGCTTATAATTTCTGGCCAGCAGATGGCAGCATACTAAAGGATATAATGTTCTAGATGTAACAGCATTTATTCACRGATTTTCCTTTACAGAATAAAACATCTTATGATGTAAGAAAACACAAAACATAGAAAACAATACGGAATTTTTAGTGAACTGTTAGCTTTGTTGTTTTAATATTTTCAGACACTATTTTCCTCCTTAAAGAAACAGTCTTGATTTTATTTATATATTTATTTTTGTCAGGTATCCCTTCCATTTCCATCACCGCTGACATCAGCAAGTCCGACGACGTCCAGAGGATGGTCGACACCGTCGCCTCTAAATGGGGAGCCATCCACATTGCTTGTAACAACGCTGGGATCAACATGAACTCAGCCAGTGAAGATACCAGTTTGGAGGAATGGGATCGAACATTTAACGTCAACCTGAGGGGGACTTTTATCTGCTGTCAGGTGTGTGCGTCTCTCACTAAGATACCTGTGTGACAGCAGAGGAGGTTTACTTCCACTGGAAAGTTTCACTTAAAAAATACTAGGAAAGTAGTTATGTCTATGGCTTTAAATTAAACTGCTTTTGTTATTCAAACCCTACAGAAAGGTTCAAATAATTTAACAAATAAACTCTTGTTTTCATGGATAGTCAAGACAAATGCAGTCATCCTATTTATAAAAACTACCATTTGTTTTTAAGTAAATAAACCACTTCGTACAAAACTAAACCTGGACCTAAATTAAGGCATATAAATAACCAAATTTCTAGAAATAATTTTCCATATTTCCTAAAACAGCACAGAAAAATTAAAACAAATGAAATAAAAAAGCCTCTAGCACATTTTATTTTTATTTAAAAACATGCGTCTTCAGCCAAATGTTTCAAGTCAGTAAAATAAACTGTTTTTAATGTCATTTCTATCCTTTAATGTCCTCATCAAGAAAAAGCTATGAAAAAAAATATTTTTTTGCATTTTTTTAATTTATAAAAAATAATAATAATGTTTAACAGGACATCTTACGTTTTTTTTTAATTGAGCTGAATTCATAAGATATAGATACTCAAAATGTGCACTACTGAAGTCTTGACCAGAACATATGTAAACATTCCTGAATTAATTATTTTTTTATTATTCTTTCTACCCAAGCTTAAAAAAAGTTTTATAAATACTGATTTTACATGGTTTAACTCAGGTAAATGTATAGTTCACTTTATAGTAGTGATATGTTTTTCAGCTTTACAATTTGATGAACAACAGAAATAAACAGAAAACATTCAATATTTCTTTGTTTCCTGTTTGTTTCAAAACTACTGAAACAAAAATTGAACGTTTTTGATGAGATGTTTCATTCAAGTGTCTAATTTACTTGGATAAATCTGCCTAATGTGTACAAAAGTATGAAGGCCCTAATATTTATTATATTTATGCTAACCTCCAAATCCACACAAGTCCATGTAAAATGCGTATCTACACTGATAAACTGCATGTTTTGTGTTGATGTGCGCCTTTGTTGTGGCCTTTATCAATAAGGTGTTTTATGAGCCTCTTCTCTCTGAATGCTTTGCCTCAGGCAGCAGGTCGAGTGATGTTAAAGCAAGGATACGGAAAGATTATCAACACGGCCTCCATGGCCAGTCTGATAGGTGAGTGATAAATCCATACCCCACTATGTGTCACCCTCTGCAGACCCTTAGCGTCTGCTTTTAATCTCTCAATTTGTCCTGGATTGTTGGACAGACAGGAGAATCATTTTCATCATCAAACACAACGTGTTTGTTACAGATGTGCTATTTATGAGTCACCTCAAGTGGCTAAAGATTAAGCAGCTTTTCTCCTTTACAACGTTTTCTTTACCCCAGTTGAATAGTTGTATAGAACTGCATCCAGCCCTGCGTACAGTAAGCAGGGCAGGAAATACAAAGTGTTGTGATTGCGTCTCATCGAGGCAGTTTTGCATCATAATAAACATCCCCTCTCTGCGGAGCTTTCTGGAGGATGTGCAAGGCAACCTGAGGTCCAACTTGGGAGTGGGGGACGGGGGGTGGGGTTCCTGCGAAGAGGCAAAATGCCAACGTCTGCCGGCGGCCTTGTTTGAACAGCGGAAGACACTTTGAGAGTTTAGCGAGAGCCTTGTAAGAAGTCGTGCAACTCCTCCACGCTGGTGTTCGTTTTTTTCCTCCTCCAACAGGTTCCTCCGGAGGAACAGCAACACTTCATCAGCAGTGCAGTCAGATTGCCAGTAAAACACCGTGCCATATGGGCCCCAGCCCCGACTGCAGGGGCAATCTGTAAAACAGGAGCATGCTGGTAAATAGAGGCCGGCATAAAGAAAATGATCAATTACTCACATTACGTTCAGTCCTGCAGGAATTTACTTTATCGCTCTGGACATCTGTTATAATATTGTCATAATGTGTAATCAGATGGGACCCTTACTAGCCAAGTGGAAGACCAAAACGCAGTCATAAACGTCCAATTAAAATGCACAATGACAGCTTTTTGTCCATCTGCTGGATGGAGAAGTTTATGTGTGGCCCTGCTAACACCCTGTATCCACACACTCACACACACACACAGTCACACACAGAAACACACACACTGACCATCAACAATTTGTATTTTTCTGAATGAAGGGCATCATCTCAGAAACATCGAGACAGAAAATATCCATCTTCAATTCAAGAAGTTTTTTAAGGGGATGGGAGGAGGCCTGTGTGTTGACCTCAGTGAGGGATTTGTGATTTTTCAACACTCACCTGCTTGTCTCAGCTGCATAGTAATCTAAAGTTGCAACAGCAGCACCATTTAGGGAAAAGAGTGCATCATTTGAACTCTTTATCTGCTCAGAAGAATTCCGAATGTAAAGGCGAGTCAGATAAGAGCGTGTTTTCTCCCACTTGAAATGGGCAATAAGAAGCAGGGTGAATGTTAAAGAGGGCTTTGGAGAATGTGCTCCTTCTGCCTCTTTTTCCCTTCTCTGGGGATTACTGCTCTTAAAGACGGTGAAAAACATCAATGCAAGTTTATTTAAAGGATGAAGGCATTTTCTGAATGGTATTTTGGGGCCGTATCATCGGGTCTTGAGCGAGGATTAGTGCTGTTAGGCATTTTGAGCTGTGTTTCCTGTCCTGATAAGTCGGATTTCACCTTCAAATCTGCATGTAAGCCCTGGGCTCTGCTCCTCCTCGCCTGCTCCTCTGAGGTCCTAGCCTAGCCTTATCCAGCCCAACCCAACCAACACCGCTGCCATCCCTCCACACTCCTGCGCAAACCAATTCACTCTCAGCCTCCATGTCGTCATCCTTCCTTACTCCTTCAACACTTCCCTACTTTTGCCTCCATCTTGCATTATTTTTATCTAGGCAGCGTATTCTGGATGCTCGAGCCTCCTCGTTGGCAGGACGGGTTTCTGCCTCTCCGCAGCTGGCCGGTATTCATCATCCCGGTCTCACACTGAAGCCATTTGGCAGTCGGATCGGCGGGTGATGAGGTTAACTACTAAAGTTGTATGTAACTTGGAGCCTTTCTTGTGATGATTAATCAACCAGCAGAAAATGAGCCCCTGTCCCGGCATCCCATGCAGCGTGCAGCATCTGTGATGGTCAAGGCAAACAAATGGCTCCCCGCTTTTGTTGCTGAGGACAGAGCATAACTGGGCATTATGAGCAATTAATTTTACATGACTTCATCCGTAGAGTCCCCAGCAGCGAAGGGAAGAGCTTTTTTTTTTGTAGCGCCCACAAGAAACTGCATGAGCAGTAATATAYCATACAGGCCTTCTTTGAGAAAGGAACTGTTTAGCTTCTGTAAAGAAAYGAAGAAACTTTATTTGGATGAGACTTTCAAAATTATGAGCATTTTTAAACATAGATAGGTACAAACCTGCTCTGTTATTCTTGAGAGGGAAAACGAACACCGGACCTTTCTAGCCAGCCAGGTTACTCAAAGTGCTTTACAACAATATCTGTTCTCATTTACACATCCACACAGCACTCTACTACAGCTCCACAAAGCTAATCTTAATAAATCATTCTTTAGACACTAATCAGTGCTTTAAATCACATCCATACAATAATGAGACACATTGAACAATAGTGTCTTGCCCAGAGACACTTCAACATGTGACTTCARGCTGCCAGGAATCAAATCTCCGACTCTTATTGGAGGACGGCTGCTCATATTACTTATCCACAGCCGCCCCACAAGTCTAGTCCTGAGTCCTGAGTCTAGATAAGTGGCTGTAGGTGCAGGATGTCCTCCTGCAGACAGGTGTTTGGGACTTGAACTGCAAAGCAGCACAAGGGTTTAGTGCCTTAAACAGCAAATAATCTGCATCTGAGGGGGGTTCACTGCTGAGAGGTCTGCAAAAGAAGCACTGTACCCTTCGAAGTGAGGGTTAAACATCTAGAGATGCATTACAACTAGAGACGAGACCAGAAGCTAGAAGCTGAAGTCACAAAAGAGGAGTGCCCCATAGTGGCTGGCTGCAGTATTAATGTTAGGTCCCGCCCTTCCATTTAACCAAATTGGACATTTTCATGACCAAAAAAAAAAAAACACTTCAGATTAGAGGTGCACTATATAAACGACACAGATTTCTTTAATTTTGGCAGATCGAAGATCGGCCGATACTTCGATAAGTTCGGTGGAAAAAGCTTCTCATCTGTCTTAAAAGGTCTGAAAATCAGCAGCCACTGTCTCCTTTTGCTCTGCTGTTAGCACTACCTAATGTCCAGTTAAAACAAGTTTGTGTTGTTTCAAGTTCAATGTTGTTAAATAAAATACGATTGGACCATTAAAGGTGTATTGCAACCTTATAACACCGGACAGTGTCAGCTATTTAAAATATTGGTATCGGCCAGAATCTGAATCGGSAGGTCAGACTTTTTAAAGATCGARGACCAGAAAGAAATCTACAWTGAGTGCACRCCTACTTCAGATGATTTGTTTTCAGGTATTTATTTCTATTTATGGGTTTAGCTCTTACCACTCTTGCTGCTATATGTTCAAGTATGCAGTTTTTCAATAGGTTTAGTTTTCTTTAGTTAAAYAAGTGTCATGTTACATTATCAGGAGGGCGGGACTTTAGCTTCGATTGTACAGCCCCACGTTCCTGTGTGCACACTCTGGCTCCAAAAATACATCCTGGAAGCACCCAGAGCAGCCAACCTTTTAGCTTCAGTTTTGATGAATGGGAAAAGACGGAAGCGATTCGTCCTTCTTTATGAGCGTTGATGGATGTACCAGAATTTGTCCAGCTTACTGTCAGATAAAACTGGATATTTCTGATGCTACAAAGTGCAAATAAACATAATCACATCACTAATGATAATGAATCTTTTTGAAATGTTTGTTTTGTAAATATGTGACTAGATGTTGTGCTTAGTGAAGTAATTTGTTAAGATGACCAGTAGATGGGTTTTAATTATGATGCTGTATTTTTTTCTTATCCATTGCCCTTCTTTTCCTCCTCTAGTCCCTCATCCTCAGAAGCAGCTGTCTTACAACACGTCCAAAGCTGGAGTGGTCAAACTGACCCAGACTCTGGGCACTGAATGGGTCGACCGAGGAGTGCGCGTCAACTGCATCTCACCGTGAGTGCCGTTCTCTCTTCGATTTTTGTGCCAGCACACACCTTTTGATTGTCATAAAAGACTCGGCGACTAAACTAAACGAGGTGTTGGCGAGTGTGTTTGCRTCCAGACGAAAGAGCCCCGTTTGAGAACGACGCATCCATTTAAGTCCTCGAACAATGRGTCCGTGCTTAATTAGATGACGTCTTGAGGGATGAATCAAACGAGCGCTTGCTCTAATTGTTCGCTTCAATTAGGCAATCAAACGTGCAACCGCACTCCAAGTGTAGCCGCAACAATAGCGCCTTGTTTGTGTCTATTTGTCTGCGGAGCTGAGCGGCTGGAGGGGGAAGAGGAGAACGCGAGCAGGGCTTTCTCTGATGGAGTATGAAGGTGTGGAGGGGGGGAGGGGGAGAGGTGGGGGAGTGCTGTTAAGCGGAGCATCCCTTAGCCCCAGTCATCCCTGAGCAAATCCGTCCGGTGGCTCTGGGCGAACCAGGCCCAGTCAGAGCCCCAGAACAAAGCCCCCCACACACAAGCGCCATGCTCAGCTTTATTTATCGGCAGCTTGTTTGCTAATTTTAATTTGCAAAGAAGCAATTCTCCGTCCCCCCTCCCGTCTCTAACTGGGTGTCTCAATGGGTCGCTGATTTCTTTGAAGTGACAGTCGGTAAATATGCATAAAAAAAGGGACACAATTAGCGCTCACGAGGTTGACTGGAGCCTGATTCTATTGGCAACTTTAGCCGCAGCGGTGATAAGCTGCATTATCTGGAAAATTGGCTGAGGGAAAACAGTACCTCTGATTGCCAGGAAAGGTTCCAGATAACAGGGCAGCTGAAGAGAAATATAATTGAGGTGGAATATGTTAACCAGGGTGTCACACGTGCTCCTTGGAAGTGCTAATTTAGCCAAATGTTGGAATTCTATATCAAGGCAGGGGAAAAATATTGGACGATGATTCAGGCTTTGTGGCTTTTTGTCACCGTCACACTGATTGCGTTGAGAGTCAGAAGTCGTCTCACACGAGATGCAGACGAGCATGTTGACGTGTTTATTCAAATCTAAGCTGTGTGTAATGTGATTGTAGGAGGTGCTGGAGAGCTATTTGTCACGAGTGCAGAMTTTTTTCATCAGTTCGACCAGAATTCTGCTACAGCATCAAAGACGTTTGAGCACAAACTGAGTCGTCGAAGCTGGATCAAGAACAGAATAAATACCACAGGCTATGAGTAAATTATACCAGCCATTTCATAATACCTGTGGGCTCCTCCTGGGACGTGTCAGTCAACAAAGTGCCGCCAGTCACACAGTAAATATCAGAGATGCCATGTCACACGGGTTCTTCAAAGGATAATTGGTTTTATTTGTGTCACCAAAGAGGTGGCTCTGAAACAACGCTGTCACTCCTGGCTGTGTGCACTGTGATGCCTTCTGATTTCATTGTGTGTGTTTTTCTCTTTTTCAGAGGGATTGTTGACACCCCTCTCATCCACTCAGAGGACCTGAGGCCTCTGGTGCAGCGGTGGCTGTCAGATATCCCTGCTGGTAGACTGGCTCAAGTGACAGACCTGCAAGCTGCAGTGGTCTACTTGGCATCTGAAGCCTCTGACTACATGACAGGGCATAACTTAGTCATAGAGGGTGGGCAAAGTCTGTGGTAGAAGCAGCACATAAAGAGATGAAAACTTTTTTTTTGCTTCTTCTTCTTCTTTTCTTCAGTTTCTTAGAATTAGCCTCAGAGAAAGGTGGGTGTCAGTGTTGAAGTCTAGCTCATCACTACAGTGCTACAGCTTCACTTATTAAATAAAAGAGTAAGCATAAAATTAAATACTAATGGAATAAATTTGCTGCCATCATCGAAAAGTGATTTGTTAAGGAATTATAAAAACACAAATTTACGTTGATTTTACTCTTTTTTTGGTAAAATAAATTGATTGTACTTTGGTTGTGATTTTAAAGTGCTTGCGACATGCATACATTCAAATACAAAAAGTCAAAGAAAATACAGTATCTTCGTACTTAAGAAACTTGGCATAATGCACATGATTTTACCCATTTAGCTACATAACTGGCATATTTTCTTTTACATTTGGTTCAGTGAAAGTGAAACAGGAAGTGACATCAAAGGGAAACTCTTAAAGAAAAGAAACTCTTTTTGTTATTTTACTTGTAAATCTCTTAACAACTGTCCATCTCAGCAGCGTGAAAAGTTTTTTCCACAAAATGTTATCGATGTTTTCTTTTCAAAAACGCTTTCAAAATTAATACACAATTTTGATGTCACATGCATTTTAAGGTAGCTTTGATTAAAAAGGGTTTAGAGTTGATGGATGTACTTTGCTGCATGAATATATGAATCTAAACGTTTCTTTGTTTGCTGATTTTTATGCAAGCAGTCTTGGTGCATTTGGGTTTTAAAAAAGCGCGCACACGAAAACAGTTAATCTCAAATGACTAGATTAGAAATTAGCATTAATTATAATTCCAAAATGGCCCTTTCTTCCTCTCTGTTTTTGTTTTCCTTTCTCTGGACTCACATACGTCACATTCAGGGTAACTGTATCCTAGTCTGCCTCTCTACTTTTTTCTTGCCAAATGGTCCCCACAAGTGGTGCTTTTTGGCACCATCTTAATTGCTCCATTAACTGTTTGTGTGCTGGAAAACAATACTTAAAGGTGAGGTTAGCCGAGGACGTGACCCCAGTCGCTGCAATTATATGAAAAGTAGCGGCCAATTAGCGCTCTTTGCAACGAGACACTGTTGGTGTTTATGTGAGCAACTTCAACTTCTCACTGCTAGTGACCGCGCTCTGATTTACATAATTGGGGGATTGGTCATTAATGGGAATGGTGTGTGTGAGAGGATCCCATTAAGATATGGAGTGAGATCTGATCTCACGCCATAGCTCTGTGCTTTTTATCTCCAGCTGTACTGGCAATTATTAGGATTCTTATCACAGCAGCTTTTTTTTTGGTGAAAAACCAAACTTTGGCACAGCGTGGAGGCAAGACTTGGCAGAATTTGTTCCCCAAGAGGACAAGRGTATCACTCCCAGGCAGTTTCACCATCTCGCCAGCGAGGGGCAGCGTTAAGTCAAGCAACTGCAACACTTATGGCACAAAGGTGGACGAGGTTATCACGTTATTTGTCGTCATCTAAAGGTAATACCAGTGAGCTGTCACGTCTGTGAGCAGACTGAGAAGTATACCTTTCTAATTTGAATGTGCAAACAGCTCATCAAAATGAGCAGAATGAATACTGATATATGTTCCAAGAAAATGTAGTTTGATAGTCGACAGTTACATTTTAAATGCATGAAAAAGTATAATTTATATTGAGGCTGTTTTAGTTAGGGGTTTACATTATTGTCAAAAGTTGAGAGCAAGTTTTATGTTAATGTTTGTGGTTTTAAAGAGCAGTATCTATTTAAAACTGCAGACAAATGCGCAAAACGTCAACTTTAAAAGTTCTGTTTTACAAGACAAGGCACATCCTTTTGTCGATTTAATTGTTATCCTCCAAACTAAAGCGTGCAAAACAGGCTAAACGGTTGAATTTTTTTTCCTCCACAGCTCTTTTTTTTTTGGCCACTCACTGCCATCATTTAGTTGGAAGTGTCTAAACTGTTGTTTTGCTGTCATGTTTTGCACCACATTAACCCCTTTCACAGCTTCATTGGAGAGGTCCTGTTTTCCTTTACAACTGCCGCCAAAAGAGCGAAATCCGTCATTTAAGCGGCAAAACATGATCTCTTGAATGCAATAACCTGCTTCATGAGGTGTAAGTGATCTTGAATCCATTATTTATCACCTGCTACCGGTGCCATTACACTGAAGAGTGGGACCCTGTTGTACAAAGTGCTGTTGTGCTAAACAGTTCCATGGCAGAAAAAGCCACTTGCYCCCTCACACTTCAGCTCAACTTTGATTAATGCGCTGCTCTGTCACAGCGTAAAACATTTTACTGCAGCAGTCGTTCAGAGGGAGACCTGGGTCGATGCTGAACAACATCATAAGGCAGTATGTGTTGTGGAGAAGGCTGAGTCTGGGTGACAGGAGGACCCAAGGGTTTATAGATGACATATTAACATTTGACAGTATCAATACACTTTATTGATGGATCACAGCGTCCTGTTACATATCCACCCAGCGAGGTGTTTAAAGATGAAATTTTACCTCCCTTATAAAGAGCTGGTTTTATCATCTGAGTTACAGTAGCAAAAAGAAAATGTCTAAATTTATCTTCTGGTAAGGCCAGTAGAATACTACATTAACTTCAAACCTTTTTTATTTAAATGATAAAAGATTTTAGCTACAATTCAGGTGCAATGGTTGAAGCGAAATATTGGAAAACAAACTGTTTAAAGGTTCTCAAAAGGTAAATTGGTATTTACCTCTCATAAAGGTATTATCCAAAAAAAATCTGCCTAAGTGTTCTCAAAATAAATTCATTTATTTATTTACTATGGCAATGATTTGCAAAGTCCGGAGTCAAGAACCCTCTGTGGGTCATGATACCAAAGGGTTTTGTGAAGTTTTACGGAACAAAATTTTGCTTCAATATGACAAAGATATCAAAGTTGTTATTTCAAACAAAAAAATAATAAAAAATAAATTTAACAGCTGCTAAAACTTGTTCTTAAATAGCTCATTAGCAATTTATGTGTAATTTAAACCAGCCATCCTCAGGGCCATGGGTCTCTGACTTRAATACTTTAAAGCTGGGCGGCATCAGTGGGTAGAGCTGATGCCTCTCAGCAAGAAGGTCACCAGACTGAATCCTGGCCCGAGGACCTTTCCCTCCGGGTACTCCAGGTTCCTCCCACAGACCAAAAACCTGTCAGGTTAATTGGTAACTCTAAATTATCCCTAGGTGTGAGTGAGAGAGTGAATGGTGGACTTGTGACCTGTCCAGGGTGTACCCCACCCRTTGCACAGTGACCCCTGTGACCCTTGATGGAAGAAACGGGCATAGATAATGGATAGGTTTAAAGCTAAAGATTTATGTAACTACTGTGACAAAGCACAAATATGAATGTTCTGATGTAAAAGGGCTGACTGCCACCATGTAAAACCTAGATGTTAATACCTTGGCTGATATATTGGCTAAACTGTTCAACTGTAATGTTCAAAGGTTAACATCATGAGATGACCAAACTAGAAGCACTCYGAGAGTGCAAACCTCCGCCAAGACCAATTTCCCCCARCCTGTTGATGTGCAAAAGCAGAGATGGAAACATATTTGCCAAATAAGTTCTGACGTAGTGAACATTTAAGCAGGCAGTATGCACGYGATTTCTTCCCGGTGGAGTCCAATGTGAAAAAAAAGGCAGACTCGTCACCCGACGTTATTCATCGTCAAACTGGTGTCGGATTAAGCTCCTAAGTTTTCATCAGTCACATTTCATCGTGTAAAATGTCTGTTTTATCCTCTTGTATGAGTTTGTAAAGGTTTGACTCTCTTTATAAAGTGTTTCCTGGCTCCCCCCGTCTCCAAACTTTGAGGCCCGGCCAGAATCTCTCTGTTTAAAAGCCTAGTAGCGAGAAACTGTTTTGATTGGTTTTTTCAGAAATGTGGTGTGTTTGAGGAAATGGGAAAAATAGGTTTCATGGTGCAGTCACGCACTTCCTTGTCACAAAACGTTCTGTAAATGCACYTAARATGGCAAAAAATACTCATTATTAAATTTGGTTTTACTTTTATAAAGTTTGAAGTCCGTGCTGTCCAATCCAGCTCACTGTTTTTTACAGAAGCCCTGTGAAAGCATCACAGCTTTGCCGATCTC